CCATGTTGACCAACTGAGGAAGACAGGAATTCTGAGATAGGGAGGGCCACTGGCTTGGAAAGAATGAAGAACAGAAAGGATTAGGGCTCATAAATTAAGAGTAGGAACTTTGGAAGTTCCAAGGGTTGATAAGATGACTAGGGGAGGTGGTGGCATAGATCTGTGGTTTGGAGACTTAACACAATTTCCTAAAAGTGTGGTCCTGGTACTAATATCAGAATTCTAGGGTGTCTGTTAAAAGTGCAGATTCTGAGTCCCCACTGCACTACTGGGTCAGAATACTGGGGGCAGGGGCATGTCTTTGAAGTTCCATTTTAAAATCCCAAGGTAAGTATTGTATACACTGACCTATGACATTGAGTAAGGGACAGGGGCTGTAATTTCCCTGTCCGCTATTTTTCAAATGAAGATGGTAATATTTGCTGTACCTCTCTAGCATGACTGTTTAGAGGATTAAATGAGATAAAAGTAAAAGTGCTTTAAAATGATTAAGGTGATTCAAAGGGAGCCTGCGAAATCCAGCAGGGTCGACAGAATAGAGCAGAGAATGGAAAAGAAAAGGTGTGATGGGGTCTGTGGATTGGGGGTTTGGCGGGAGGGGGTAAGTTGGGATGGGAGAATTCCTGTCACCTGCGGGGTCCGATGCAGCTCATACAGACTCAGTTCCCACGTTTTGCTGGCATTCTGGGCATTCGCCGGCGTCGTCATGGTGACCAAGCACAGACCCCCCACCCGGGCTCCGCAGGCGAGGAGTCTAAGGCCGGGGAGGGGGAAGGGGACACGGTGTTCGGGGGCCGCCTCTCGAGCAGACCCCGCCCCTCGAGGCGCCCCTCTGAATCCCGCCCCGCGCGGGCGCGGACCCTCACCCGGCTCCGGCCGTTCGCGCTCCGGCTGCCGCCGCACCTCTTCCAGGGCCCGGGCTCCTGGCTCGACTTCGTTCCGTCCGCAGTCCCTGCTCAGACAGCAGCTCCCGCCGCCGCCGCCGCCGCCATGGCCCGGGCGCTGGGACCCTACGTCACTTCCGTCTGTCCCTCTACTCCACCCGCCCCCTCCCCCGCCGGCGGAGACGTCACCGGCCACTCGCGGCACGGGTGGGACGCGACGTGGACGCCAAAGTTCCCCCGCCCACGAAACGCGCCCGCTCCGTGCGAGGAGCCTGCCTCCCAGGAGTCCCGCGCCACGTGGGGACCACGGCCTCCGCCCTCGGACCAGCATAGTCGCGCGGCCAACGATCGTAGCCACCGTTCGATTCCCGGTGTCCCCACCCCGGGGCCTCCGCTCCAGAGGGCGGAGCCTGAGACCGCTCGGACCCCCTGGAGGGGACGAAGAGCTCGGGGAAGGGGCCACCTCCCACACTCTGCGTCCCCTCGGGTCTCGCCCCCCCCAAGTTCTCCGTAACCCCCAGCCTGGGATTCCGGGGGAAAAAAAGCTGTAAAGATCCTCCGCCGCTTTAGCTCATGTCCTGTGAAGGCAGCTAGGTCCCGAAGTGCACAAGATTCCCCTTGCCACCCAGGGGTCTTGCCCCACCCTCCGCTTTGCCTCTTCCTAGGCCCTCCGACCCCCTCTCCCCCTCGAGGTTTGGGGGCGGCGGCTCGGGACGTCCAGACTCAACTCTCGGCCGGAGCCATAGACTCGAGAATTGCGTTTGGACAATCAAGAGCCGCGGCCCGGGGCGGGGGAGGGAGGTGCATGAGAGGAACGGGGAACGGAGACATCACGCGGAAGCTGGGACACACACAAGATGGGGGCCCCCATTGAGGAGGGGGTGTGCGCGTGTGAGTGGGGGACACATGGAGCGGAATGTCTGGAGTGAGATCCCAGTGGGCAGAAGCCTCTCTAGAACTCTGGAGTAAAGGAAGGAGACGGGGAATAGAGAAAAGAGGAGGAGCAGAGCGATTCCCATTGAGGGCAGGGAATGAGGGATACAGGGAAAGGGAGAGTGATGGGCGTTCAGTTCCCGCTAGCCAGAGCTGGGGCTTCGGACCTGGGCTGTAGTTGCCAGGGGGTTGCCGATGTCTGGGACAAGTCAGTAGTGGGTCCCCTCTCCTCGCCCCCCACCCCAGGTCCCCCCTACTTCCCTGTCCTCTCCTTCAGTCCGTGGCCAGTCCTTATGTGGGCGCCAGAGTCGATTAGCGCAGACCCCCTCCCCTTCCTCCTCCTTCTCCCAGCCCCCTCCCTTCTGCTCTCCTCCAGCCCCTTTCATCGGCTGGTCCATTCCCCTAATCCTGGCCCCCTCCTCTAATCCCCCCCATCCGACCCCAGGCCGGCTGCAGCTATTGTAAGGTGGAGAGAAAGAGGAGGGGAGACTGAGAGAAAGGAGAGGGGTGGGGGAGGGCCACCTGTTCCAAGACCCCCTTCCAAGGCCAGACTGGACACCAGGATGGGGCTAAGAACAAGCCACCCTTGGGGGCCATAAGGACCCAGGGAATTGGGGGGAGGGGATTGGCCTTGAAGAACCAGTGAAAGGGGGTAGGGCAGAAACCCCTCCCTCTCCAAAAACCCAGAGTGTCACGAATACAGTGACATACACTCTTTGCTCTCACACCCGGCGGCGGGGGTTGCCCTGGGAGACCAGCAGTGAAAGGGAACAATCCTTAGGGAAAGGGAGAGAGGGGGAGGTGGGGAAGGGTCTGAGGGCTTGGACACAAGAAGAACCGGAGGTGGCAGGGAAGAGGATTTGGAATTTATTAGGGTCACAAGCACCCCTGCCTCCCATATTCAGCATTCCTGAGCCGTACACTGCCACCCCTTTTGTAGCCTGGGAACTTAGAGTCCTCATCAGCAGGAGGCCAGGCAGAGTGGTGGGGGAGTGAGCAGCGTCCAGGGTCCTTGAGGCAGTTACATGAAAAGACCTCCTGAGAGGGGAAGAAACATTTGGACAGATGCATGGGTGGAGAGGTAAATGACTTGGGGATGCCCACTTCTGTCCCTGGTCTCAGGAACCTCTGCCCTTTTGGCTCCAGATTCTCCTCACTTGCTTTCTTATATGATCTGGGTTCCACTTCTCTGCCCTCTCCCTCCCCATGCTGGCCTCATACCAGTGACTTCCACTGAGGCCCCTGTGATATATCCACTGTCTTCAGATGCCAGGAATGCAACAACATCTGCCACATCTATGGGAATTGGGGGGGGGGAGGACAGAATCCCATTCATTTCCATAGACCCGAAGTAACCAGTCTCCTTCCAACACCTCCCCCCAACACACACCAACCACTAACCCTGGTGAGACCCTCAAAAATAACACAAATTTGGGAACGTCTTCATTTATCACCTTCCCCAGGGTCTACTCCCCATTCAGTGCTCACCCTCAGGATCCCCGAAGTGTCCCATTGGGATTAATCCAGTCACCTGTAAGGAAACACTTGAATGTGGGTGAAAGCTTCTTTTATGGATTGTTTAAAAGAGTCTATGACTGTTTTCCTCATCCTTCATGCATTATTTACTGTTTGCCAGACTCTGTGCTCAGCATTTCTCTCTGAGGCCCAAAGACCCATACTGCCCTCCTCCCACAGCCTCCTACCTTCTCCTTTACTTTCTGTGGCATTTTCTCTGTCATGGGTGTTGCAATGAACCCTGGGAGGACAGAATTACATCGGATCCTATGTCTGTAGAGAAAAAGTGGCTGCTGAGTCTGGAGAGGACATTGACCCTTCCCTCAGATGATACATGCCTCAGCGATGTCCCCTGGTACCCCAGGTGTCTGACCCACCGTCCAAGTTCCCGTGCTGCAGACTGGGTCAGCCCAATCACTCCTGCCTTGGAGGAAGCATAGTTTGTCTGCCCCATGTTCCCCACCTACAGGTGCATCAGAGATCTGGGGTGAGTCAGGAGTCTCAAGGACTGGCTTTTTTCTCTATGCCCACTTGCCTGGCTAACTTCACCCCAACTCAACCTGACCTTTCCAATGATGCTACTGATGTTGATGATGGAGCCATGACAACCACTGGACACCAAGGCTTGGGCTGCAGCCTGAGTGACTAGGAAGATGCCCTGGCAGGAGAGGGTAACAGAAAATATCAGCTGGGGTGACAGCCTTTCTCAAAGTATGGCCCTCCCCACCAGGCTGGAGTGGGAGGGTAACAGAAGTCACAGGTTCAGAGATCACCACCTTGAGATTGACAGCTATGACTTTGTCCCAGTTATCCTCAGACATGTGGAGCAGAAACTCATCCCGGGTGATGCCCGCACAGGACACAACGACAGATGGTGGGCGAGAAAAGCAGGCCTATGAGAAGGAGGGGTGGTTCCACACCAAAACACCACAAAGAGCCGGGGAAATGGGGGCGATGTGGGAGCTTGTACAAGAGCTAGGCTGCCAGGCGTTCACCTGCACTTGCTCCAGCAGGCGCCTGGCAGCCGTGGTCTCCGACACGTCAGCCTGGAAGGCAGCGTGGTTCCCGCGGGGCGCCTGCGCCTCAATCACCGGCCCGCCCAACAACCGCACCGTCTCGTGTGCCGCTGCCCCGTCCAAGTCGCAGGCGGCCACGGTGGCCCCCTCTCGGGCCAGGCGTACACTGACCGCGCGGCCGATGCCGCTACCCGCACCTGCGGTGAGAGAGAATACACCGGGTGGGAAGGGAAGAGCGGCTGGGGTCAGAGGTCACAGGGAGCAGTTAGGGAAATTTGGACAAAGGGCCAGAGATCACAGGAGTCGCAGGGTATGAGGGTGTGCCCATTGACATTACTCCTGAACCCCAACCTGCCCAGGGAGAGGACCCCCTCAACCTGTGACCAGGGCCAAAGCAGAGCTGAGCCGGAGCAGAGACGCCATGGCGGGCAGGGGATAGGCGGGCACCCAAGCCCCGAGCCAATGCGAGCTCACAGGAGGCGTGACAAGGGCTAAACCAGGACCAACCAAAATCCCACCAGCCAGAGGCCATCTGCGGACACCAGCACGGACCGACCTCCCACCTTGGGGGCGTGGCCCAGGCTTCAGAGCCTTGGGATCTGAGGGAGACAAGGGGTCCCGTTCCCCCCAAAAAGACAAATACTGCATATGAGGCGGAAGATTCAAGGACTTTATTTCCAGTCACCACCCCTCCTCTTCGATTCAAACATTGATACAAAATGAATAGAAATAAACAACAAAAAAAATCAGGCCATGAGATTACCAGCTAACCCTCAGCCACCTCCCACCCCAAATCACTCCCAAATCACAACACACGATTGATGTTTACCCCCAACTCTTCCTATTACCCCCTTCTGTCCAGGGCTCTGGTCTTCCCTGAGGCCTTCACCAACCAGTGGGAGAGAGGAATAGATCTTGGAGAACTCTTGTGTGTGGCACCTTGGTCCTCTGAGAATAAGTGCGGCAAGGAACACCAGGTAACCAGTCATCATTCCAGCCTTTTTCATGGCCCCATTTATCCCTCCAAACCCAACAATATGGTTGAGCAGTGTCCAACACTTTGGTCCCTCTGGCCTGTCATTTTCGCTGCCAAACCTTGAAGGCCCTTAATGCCAATGTCACCATTCTAGGATAGATCTCCTTGCTTTGGCAGATGACCCTGGCCAGGGCCCCCAACAGCCACAGGCCCCGACTTACAGTTAGGAGAAGAGGTTTGGGGCAGGAGTAGTGGCCACTTATCCCATCTGTCACTCAAGGTGGGCAATCAACACCATCATAATAACTCCCCCCAGCAGCCCCAGCACCTCCAGAAGTGATTGCAATGGTGACGCCTCCCTCAACAGCTCAGGCAACACAGACACGGTTGCTACGTAGATAAAACCACCTGCAGTGAATGGCAGAACCCAGCCAGGACCTGCACCACCTGCAACTTCATTGCCCACTGCCCCTCCTTCAGTGAGAAGAGCACAGGCTGTGCCTGCCAATGCTCCTACTGCTGTCAGTAATTGTAGACGCATCGCCTGGTGGGCAGAAAAGGAGAGAGAGACACCAACAGCTAAAGATTATCAGTGGTTTAAATGTGGCTGGTGGGGTATGGCTGTATAGGTGTAGGGTTTGATTCAGTAGTTGTGTTGTGTTGTGTGCGCCAGTGTGTGCACAGAGCATAGTTTAAGAAATATTGAGCTAAGCCGGGTGCCAGTGACCCATGCCTGTAATCTTAGCTACTTAGGAGGCTAAGATCAGGAATATGGCAGTTCGAGGTCAACCTGGCCAAATAGTTCCTGAGACCCCCATCTCCAATATACCCAAAGTAAAATGGACTAGAAGTGTGGTAGAGTGCCTGCTTTGTAAGCCTAAAGAGTCCTGAGTTCAAACCCCAGTTCCACAAAAAAAAACCAAATTACATATGTAAGAAATACTGAGTTACAGGACAAAGGAGACAAATGCTTCACCCTCACTTCCAGAGGATTTGTTGTAATAATACAACTTGTTTAGAACTAATGAGAAGCAGTCCTGGGTTTGGGGTGAGAAAGCAGGGATAGAGGTTTGAGGAAACCATGTTTACATAACCACCAACCTGTTTTTTGCTGCAGCCAGACTGGACCAAGATGGCAAAGTCCCCAACTTCATGGGGCACTTCATGTAGCAGAACAGTCATTGTGGTCAGGATCCCCAGCCCTCTGCCCCCTCGAAAGGAAGCACCAATGGCCAGACCATCTGTGAAATTGTGTGCCAAGTCAGCAGCCAGATTCAGGTATCCAGACACACGCAGGTCTTGTACAGGAGAAAGAGGAAGACAAAATGAAAAGAGAAATCCTTTACCACCAGTCCCAGTTGTGGTCAGCCATTTTTATATCTCCCCTCAGGGATCACTTCACAAACAGTGTTTCCCAGACACCTGCCATATGCACAACACATATTTTATACAAATCATAGTGATGCTCCTTGCCCAAACTCATTACCGCCCCTGTTCCTTACCTGAACCTGTTTTTTCTTCTTCAGGGTTCTGAGGTTTTACTGGCCCATCTTTAGGCCCTATGCTCCCTCCTTTCCTTTTCCGCAACTTTGCTTCTTCCTTTTCTTCTTCCTCTGAGCTGAGCTTCTCCTTTGAAGAATGCTCTGAGGAAACAGAGGAGTTGGTCAGAGCGGAGAGCAGAGATCTTCTAAGATATATCCTCAAAGGGATACCTGCTCCAGCTGACAGCCATGAAGCAGGCAAGGTGGCTTTTAGAAATTGTCCTGGGCTTACCCTGTCTTCCATGTGCATGACTTCCATGTGTGTGACCACGTCCATGACTGTGTCCATGTCCTCCTTTCACATGTCTCACAAATTTCTCCACCACAAGAAAGGCGACAATTCCACTGAGAACCCACAGTCCCACAGACAGAATGGGACCCTGACCTGGGAATGGGGGCATTGATACATTAAGGGAGATGTAGATTCCAGAATTCCTTCTCAAGTACAGGAAGTGAAGAACAGGAAGACACACACTTTTCCCAGTACTCCACCCCTTTACCTATCTTCTCTTCCTTACCACTGTGGGAGTGTCCATGTCCAGGTTGCTCCAGAGTGTGATGAGAATGTGGTTCTGCAGGAAGGAGGAAAAAAGGCTGGACGAGGGAATACCGGACCAAAGATGTGTATTTAGGGTCTATTGGAAGGTTAGGAATCACAAAGAAGAAAAAATCTTCCCCAATCCCCCCACAAATAAAACAGTTAAACCTGTGAGAGCTGAGAGCGTGGCTCAAGTAATAGAGCACCTGTCTAGTAAGTTCAAGGCCATGAGTTCAAATCCCAGTACCTCAAAAAAATTTAAGGTTTGAGGTAGTCTAGAGATTACTTACCCAGAGCATGAGGGATAAGGTGCAGGAAGGCATCACCTAGGAGCCCCCCAGAAGCAAAACTGAGCAAGATCTGGAGTAGAGAGCGATGTCTAGGCGAGTTTGACTCCACTGGGATGAGGAAGAGAACAAAAAATGGAGCGGCAGAGATCAGCACTGTGGCCCCCAGTGCCTGGTGAAGAAGAATCAGGAGTCAAATATTGCAGTTTTCACCAACCTAGAACCAGTCCTTTCCACCCCATCCCCTGGGGACTCACATAGGCCCAGAGGGTGACAGTGTCCAGGTCGTGCTTGATGCCTGGAACCCCAGACTCCCTGTAGCCTCCATGGCTATGTTCATGGTCATATCCATGTCCTCTGTGGTGGAAGCTTTCGTGCGAGTGGCCACGGCTATGACCATGGTGCAAATCCTCGTGTGAATGTCCATGGTCGTGATCGTGAGTATGCCCATGCCAGATGCTCTCGTGAGTGTGGCCATGGCCATGGGCATGGCTGTGTCCATGGTGGAAATCTTCATGTGAGTGCCTGTGGCCATGGAATTCTTCTTCCACGTCCTTGTGCGGATCACCATGACCCTCGTGTCCGGCCACCAGCAGCCCCAGGGCTGCCCAGGTCAGCAGTCCCACGGCCACCCAGTGGGGGGCCCGCAGGCCTCTGGCCATCACACTGACCAGAGGGACAGAGACAGTGACTCCACTTGACCCTCAACTCTACACGAGTCCGCTTTACTCTGCTTGTGCCCTCCGTGCACTTCTATGGGCCGCTTCCCCATTCCATTCTGTCGTCACCCACACTGTTCCCAAGACTCGTTCTCTTTATTCCGAACCCCTTCCCAGATGCAGGCTCCCTCACTCTCACAGAACACCGCTCTAGATTTTGATCCGCCCTTTACGGGCTCTCTGGGCCCTCGTCTTTATGACTCACTAGATGGGGAAAAAGCCTGGAAGGAACAGTAGAGGAAAGGCAGGGAATTCTCACCGGCTCCGGGATCCTCTCCTTTCCCAGTTTGCTCGGACGTGGCAGTCACGCCTCTACCTCCCGCGAGAACAGGAAGTTCCGTTCTATCTCCGCCCCAATACCTTTACCAATATGGCGGCTCTCTGGTGGAGGCAAAGCCAGCCTGCCCTATTGCGCATGCGCAGGTACAGAGGTTATTTGAGGGGAGGCTGGGCGAGGCGGGCTAACAGGCTGAAGGACACCTCCTCCGTTTCCAACTAGCGAAGGGGCGGGAACTAGCGACGAGACTTCCCGTCTGTACAAAGATGGCTGCCACATCGGCGCTGTCATTTTGGTACAGAGCCGAGCGAAGCGCTTAGTTAGAGCCGATCCAGGCCAGAGCCTTTTTCTCTGGGGCTTCCTCGTGTTCAGTTAGTGCCCCGGTCAATCCTTGGGAATCCTTGGCACCTCTTCCGGTATCCCTACACTCAGCCAGGAGTCATGTCTTGGGCCGCCCGCCCGCCCTTCCTCCCCCAGCGGCATGCCGCAGGGCAGTGTGGGCCGGTGGGGGTGAGAAAAGAAATGCATTGTGGGGTCGCGTCCCGGTGGCGGCGGCGGCGGCCCTGGCTGGATCCCGCGGCGGCAGCAGCGGCGGCGGCAGCCGGAGAACAACAAACCCCGGAGCCGGAGCCGGGGGAGGCTGGACGGGACGGGATGGGCGACAGCGGGCGGGGTGAGTGTCCTAGCGGACGAGCAGGCGAGCTAGTGACCGCATTATCTGCACCCCTCCCCCATATCCTCCCCGGGCGTTCTTTCTCTGGCGCTCCCGCCCCCTTGTTTGTAAACACGGGTCCTCTCCCTCCCGAGGGCCTTAGCGCCCCCCCACTTCACCCCGGGGCGGGGGAGTTTCCGCCCTCCTAGTGGTGGCCTATTGAGGCCCTGCTCCCGATGTCCCGGGCGTGGGAAGACACGATTCCCCTTGGGCTTGAGGACTCTGGACGTTTGAAGGCAGATCTCACGTCTAGGAGGGGTTCTTGTCCGCCTGTCTCCTGCACGCTCTTGCTACCTGGCTGTAAGCTAGGAATGGAAAGGTTGACTGGGCCACCCCACGTGCTGCCCCACCCACGAGACAGGTCTACTTGGGAGTGACTTAGTATTCATTCATATGCTTTGTGTGGAAATATTCCTCACTTGAACTACCCTGCCTTTCTTTTCCTTTGTAGCCCCCACCCCCCAGCACCACATTTAAGAGTTACAGTGTTGTTTGACAGCAGGGTATTTCTGAACTTGGGGATGGGTGGGGTAGGGTGCTGTGGCGCTGTGGGGAATTAGAGAATTAAAGTCTCCAAGTGGATGATCAGAGACTCATTTTCTGTTTTTATCTCTCCTGTCTCTTGTGTGTCTCTGTGCCTGTATGTACCTCTCTCTCTCAGACTCGCGAAGCCCAGACAGCTCCTCCCCCAACCCCCTTCCCCAGGGGATCCCTCCCCCTTCTCCTCCTGGACCACCTTTGCCACCTTCAGCACCTCCACCTCCAATGCCACCACCCCCACTGGGCTCCCCCTTCCCAGTCATCAGTTCTTCCATGGGGTCCCCTGGTCTGCCCCCTCCAGCTCCCCCAGGATTCTCCGGGCCTGTCAGCAGCCCCCAGGTGAGAGGTTGTGACCCACTTACTGCCTCTCCACTTTGATTTCATTTGTTTTCCTTGTAACCCTCATCCTCCTGTGAACTTCCCCATGGCTCACTGACCTTCCAGTCCTCTAATCCTAGCAGGCATGTGGTCCTTGTGAAACCCCTTGCCCTTTCTGGGGTGACTGATATTTTAGTGCATGCTTCATCCCTAATCCTATTATGAAAAAAGCAATCCAATATTCCTGATGTCATTTTCATCTATCAGTGATTTTTCTGCCCTTTTGGTCCCATATGTCCTTCTAAAACACATGCCCTTCAGGGCCACTGTGTTACACAATTTCAGGGGGCAACTGTTTATGTCTGTTCTCTATGAGTTGTGCTCCATGGATGGCCTTTTATGTAGACTGCAGTGTAGCTGATGCCCTTCGGAGTGTGCAGTTGAGGGCCCTGCCTAGTGGATGATTTCCGTTACCTGTGAGAGATTCTTCTTCCAAATGAGTCTCCCTGTGACCTCCCTATTTCCCCCATCCCAGATTAACTCAACAGTGTCGCTCCCTGGGGGTGGGTCTGGCCCCCCTGAAGATGTGAAGCCACCAGTCTTAGGGGTCCGGGGCCTGCACTGTCCACCCCCTCCAGGTGGCCCTGGGGCTGGCAAACGGCTATGTGCAATCTGCGGGGACCGAAGTTCAGGTATGGGGCTTGGAACATAGACACAAAAGAAGAGTCTGGGTCATTTACCACCACCTGTAGGACTTCCAGGGGCTCCTGGGGTTGAGTCAGAGTAAGTGAGCTGGGGGAGACCTGTGGAGGACTACAGAACCTGAAGCTCAGATGTACCATGCAATGGAAGGTGGTCAGAGGGAAATGGGGGTTAGTATAGGATTTCTGAAGAGTGAGGAGAGTGGACTAAGTTATTCTTGACCAGCTAGTTCCTCATCTCTATATTTTGCAAACACAGGAAGGATTTTGACTGACTTTTGCCTGGCGGGGGGAAGAGATTGGCAAAAGACTTTATGTTAAGGAGGTCTCTATGCAGCCATCTTATTGCTGTTACCCTCCCCTTGTAGGCAAACACTATGGGGTTTACAGCTGTGAGGGCTGCAAGGGCTTCTTTAAGCGTACTATCCGTAAGGATCTGACCTACTCATGCCGTGACAATAAAGATTGTACAGTGGACAAGCGCCAGAGGAACCGCTGTCAGTACTGCCGCTATCAGAAGTGCCTGGCCACTGGCATGAAGAGGGAGGGTAAGGACCTGCTCCAGCCAGGCTTCCCAGTCCATAGGTCCTTCTCTCCCACCTCACTAGTGGGAGAACAGGGAGGGGGTAGAGGGGAGACTGAAGGCATCCATAGCTTTGTATGCCTGTCAGGAATGCAGGACTGTTCTCTCTTTTTTCCTCCAGGGGGCGATGTTTGATTCAGTGCTCTTCCTTGGTACCCAGCTCTGGTCCCTTGATTTTCCATCTAAATTAATGGTTCTGCCTCTGTGGTCACACTATGATCCTTTCCCAGCCCCATCTAGTCCTACGGCAGGATAGTCTTTCCTTATCCATGATGGGCTTCTGTGTTTCCTCTTCTCTAGTCTTAGCAGTTTCTCCTCTCTGATCCCATGTTCCTTTTCTGGTCTCCATGTCCCTGTTCTCTGTGGTCTTTCCTCCAACCCCTGGGACTCTACCCTCTTAAGCAGACTTACAGAAGACTTTCTCTTCTATTTCTCCTTCTTCTTAAGTCTTGCTACTGGAATTCTGAGAGAGATACTGTAGAGAATGTATCTTGGACAAATCTCTCCTTTAGTAAAGATGAGCCTGAGCTGGGTGGTAGTGGCTCATGCTTGTAATCCTAGTTACTTATTAGGCAGAGATTAGGAGGATTGTGGGTCCAAGCCAGGCTAGCAAAAAGACCCCATCTCAACCAAGAGCTGGGTGTGATGGCCTGTCATGGGACTCTGAGATCGGGAGGATTGAGGTTCCAGGCCTGCAAGGGCAAAAAGTTCACAATACCCTGTCTCAACAGAAAAAGATGGGTATGGTGCCATGTGCCTGTCATTCCAGCTACTATGGGAAGTGTGACTAGGAGGATTGTAGTCCAGCCATTCAGGCAAAAAGCGAGATCCTATCTCAAAAATAACCAGAGCAGGGGCTGGGGGTATAGGGCAAGAGGTACAGTATCTGTCTAGTAAGTGTGAGGCCCTGAATTCAAACTCCAGTACCTCTGGGGGAAAAAAAAAGAGTGGCAGGGTCAGGATCAGATGCATGTCTCTGAAGACCTAGGCTAGTGTTCACTTATTGCCTATTTATTGAGTCTAAAGAACACAAGATTTGCCACTGGTGTGCTTGACCTGTCACATCTTGTATGAACTTAGGCACACTAGCTAACCTTTTTAAGCCTCAAGTTCTTCATCTTTACAAGTGGCAACCAGAGCTCACAGGGTCATTAAGATCCTTGAGTGAATGATAAAACACATATAGCATGTTTCTAAGCACATAGTAGGCCCTCTGTTTAAATCTGGCTTCCTCCCTAATTCCTTTATTTTCCTATTCCCTTCTTGACCTATTACCTGCCTTTTAATAGCTCCTGCTTCTAGACTGTTCCTGTCCATTTACCGTTTCTAGTGTTTTAAAAATTGCTATAAATATCTCTTAAGGGATATCAGACCTGATAAGGCCCCAAGGATATTTCAGAACTCCCTCATGGCTGGCTGATGACTTTCCATTTTTTTTCTTCCTCACCCTCCCCACAGCGGTACAGGAGGAGCGTCAGCGGGGGAAGGACAAGGATGGGGATGGGGAGGGGGCTGGGGGAGCCCCCGAGGAGATGCCTGTGGACAGAATCCTGGAGGCAGAGCTTGCTGTGGAGCAGAAGACTGACCAGGGCGTTGAGGGTCCCGGGGGAACCGGGGGTAGCGGCAGCAGCGTGAGTGATGGGGTCACCCCTTCTTTGCGATGGGGTTGGGGGAGGAGGAAGTCTAGGTCTGTTCTATCTCCCCTCTTCCCTTCTCCTCATACCCTCCTCACACTGCTTGGGACTGGAAGTGCTGCCAAACAAGGCCTCTCAAACATCTAAGGTGGGTGTGAGAGCTCCCTCCATCCCTACTCACAGTGGCAGAACCACAGATGAGGCTCAAACAGTCATTTACATGAATGCCAGAAGTGAAGCCAGATTTATAGGGATTGGCTTAGGCGGAGCTTAAAGGAAGATTATGTACAAGGAGGGAATGTCGAAAGCTTTTTACAAGGGGGACTCCTAGCACACCTCTACCCCTTTCATAAATCTTATGCCCTGTCTCCTGCAGCCAAATGACCCCGTGACTAATATCTGTCAGGCAGCTGACAAACAGTTGTTCACGCTTGTTGAATGGGCGAAGAGGATCCCCCACTTTTCCTCCTTGCCTCTGGATGACCAGGTCATATTGCTACGGGCAGGTCAGTGACCTTCAATTCCTTTGACTTCTTGACATTTGACCCTTCTTTGACCTCCTGACCTTCAGTGACCCTAGTGGCCTTACCTTGCATACTCAGGGAGCCATGCTTACTGACCTTGCCACCTCTTTTCTTCTCTTCCTCTGATGTGTTTTGAATCCTATGGTCTGATCTCTGGCTCCTGACCTTTGCTGCCCCCAACCAGGCTGGAATGAGCTCCTCATTGCTTCCTTCTCTCATCGGTCCATTGATGTCCGAGATGGCATCCTCCTTGCCACAGGTCTTCATGTGCATCGCAACTCAGCCCATTCCGCAGGCGTGGGAGCCATCTTCGATCGGTCAGTGGCCCTTGGCTGGGCTGACCTGTAGGTAGAGGGGGTGGGGCTATAGGCTGGTCCGTGTCCAAGGCTGGCTGAGCTGTGACCTTTGAGTGACCTGCAGGTCCCTCTCCAGGGTGCTGACAGAGCTAGTGTCCAAAATGCGTGACATGAGGATGGACAAGACAGAGCTTGGCTGCCTGCGGGCAATCATTCTGTTTAATCCAGGTAAGAGGAGGATTACCCCTGTCTCTCAAGACCAAGGCAACCTTGGAGCCTCTTCTCCGGAGCCTCCTAAGTTACCCAGCCATTCCCCTCAGTAAGACCCTCAGCCTAGAAATCTCCCAATGGAGGAAAAAGGCACTTCTACTGATCCATTCCCTTTCTGACCCCATCCCACAAACCCAGTGGGCCCTGCTTCCTTTGCCAGGTAAAAGGCGAGTAGGTGGAGCCCTGAAGTGGCATCCTGAGGGCTACAGTTGCATGTCTGTTCTCATTTGATTTGTCCTTCTTCCTCACTTCCCTGCCACCCTAGATGCCAAGGGCCTCTCCAACCCTGGCGAGGTGGAGGTCCTTCGAGAGAAAGTGTATGCATCACTGGAGACCTACTGCAAACAGAAGTACCCTGAGCAGCAGGGACGGTGAGATGGAGCTTTGGGGACTGAAGCCCCTGCAAGGGTGGGGAGTGAGGTGGGGGTGTGTTCAGAGCCTGAGTGCTTCTGGCTCTCACCCCCCTTCTCCCACCTCCACCTCCACCTCCACCTCAGGTTTGCCAAGCTGCTGCTACGTCTTCCAGCCCTCCGGTCCATAGGCCTTAAGTGTCTAGAGCATCTGTTTTTCTTCAAGCTCATTGGTGACACCCCCATTGACACCTTCCTCATGGAGATGCTTGAGGCTCCTCACCAGCTGGCCTGAGCCCACACCCACATGTGGGCTTCTCACACTTGAGGGGTGCCATCCAAGAAGACTCGGAGCCTGGGCCAGGGTGGGAGGCCCCATGTGCCCAGACAGAACTTCAAGGCCTGGAACACAGAGCAAAACCAACACCTCAAAGGAGATCTGTCAACCCTCCAAGGGGTTTGCTTGATAGCTCAAGTCAGAGGGGACCCCAGGTCCCTCTGAGGACTGGACATTTCCTTTCAGTGACTTTGAGTCTCTGAACTTGTTGGGGTCTCCAATGATTTGGGGTGATTTCTCACTCTCATCCCTCCCCCAGCACAAAGCACTGATCCCATTCCTGGGATCCTGTTTCCTTCTCATTTTGCTTCACTCCCATGTGAAGTGGAAATGGGGAACTCCCCCCTGAAATGGATGTTGGGGGGCGGGCCCCCCAGAACTGATGGACATGGAAGTAAGGCTCTGACAAGCTTTCTTCCTTCCAAACCTGGCAGTTGGGGACAAAGAGGGAGCCTGTCACTGTCTTCTGTCCAGAGTCCTCTTTCATACTTTGCCTCCTACAGTCAGACTGAAAAATAAAAAGGTGGTGGTGGTTAAAGGGCTGGTGGAGATGTAGGAACCAATCTGCTATTTTTAATTTCCTCAGAGGATAGAGACTTGCAGTTAGACTCAAAGAAGTACTGTACTTTCCCAGGTTGACTAAGAGATGCCAGTGGTGGAGGTTGGTATTTAGGCAAGGCAGGGTGCTGAGGTGGTCTGTTCCTGGGCTTTCCAAGCACTGGCCTTCTCCACCCTTCGGCCTTCATGTCTAGCTTGGGGAAGGGGTCTGGGCTGTGATGACAGGGCCTGGCTGGCTGGTTTGGTGGGTGTAGTCCCTGGGGCCCTTCCCTTCATAACTTTCCTCCAGTTCTGGGCACACAGCATAGGCTTGGGATAGGGATCCTGGCCTGAGAATTGAGGGGCGATGGCCAGTCTGCAGAGACGGAGTGCTGGGGCTGCATGATTTTTGCCTTGCATCTCCTCTTTGGGGTCCTTTCCCCTCTTTCACTCGCACATAAAATCGCTTTCAAATTAAAATCGCTGTTTTCTGGACTGAGATGACTATAGAGGTGGGCAGCGCCCATCAGCTTGGTGTGAGGGTATCCGGTTGGTAACTCTGGACTTGCTCCCTAGAGGTTCCCTGGGGCTCGAGAGGCGGTGAAGGGTGGGGGACACAAGGCCGCTTTGTCGGGGCGCGGGGGGGCGGGGGCGCGGTGCGGGGAAGAGGGTATGGCAGGCTGGGGGCGGGGCCGGGCGGGAGGAGGGAGTGCGACTGTTTCTCAAAGGCGCCTTGTTCGCTGGTGCCCTCGCTGCGCCAGTGGGCGGCGGCGCCTCTCTCGCTCCGGCCTTCTCTCCCGCCGCGCCGCGGGCTCCGGGCAGACCCGGCGCAGTGCCCGCTCGTGGGGGCGCGCTGGGCGCGAGCGCGGCGCCCTCCCCAGGCGTTGCCTGCCTGGAGCCGGCCACGTCCCTGAGTGACCCCATTTCCCCGGACCCTTCCAGCGGCATCGACTCCTCCTCGTTACACCCCTGGGTCCCTTCTCACCTGAGCTGTCGACTACCTTTCCTACCCCTCATTTTCATCTCCTTGGACCCGATTAGCCTGTTTGTTCTAGTCTCTGGCCTCTGTCCCCAAATAGGCTTCCTCTGCTCTCCATAGAACCCCCATCCACTCCCCCCACCAGTTAGTCGCTATCTATAGCCTTGTCTATAAATACCCCGGCCCCAGGACCGGCTCTGTAATTACATGGGGCGGGGCGAGGGGGGTAATTATGGAGACCTGATTATGTGTGGGCGTGGGGGTGGCGACCCCCAGGCCCGCCTCTCCCTTCCCACTGTGCCCTAAGTCCCGCCCAGGACTCAGCAAAAAGGGGGCTCTGGGCCCCAAAGGGGGAGGGAACCCGAGAGGGTGTGTGTGTGACTAGACGTTTGGGTCCTAGAAAAGGAAGAGCTGAGGGAAGATGCATTGTATCTTAGGGTAAAAGACACTGAATCCCTGCAAGGAGTAGGGAAGCACAGTTCAAGGGTCAGCAGGGAGTGAGGGTTCCGGTCTCCCCCATACCCTCCCCCGCCCAGGTGGTGATTGAGGGTGGGGTTTCCCCCGCGGTGGCTTTGGGCGGGCGGTTGGAGGCGGGGGCTGGACCTGGGGGCGGGGGCGAGGTGGGGGCTCTGGGCTGCTGGGGTGGCCGGAGACACACAGGAGCGGCGGCCACCGAGGAGGGAGCAGCGCGAGATCCCCGACGGCACCTTGTTGCATGGAGCTGGGCTGCTGAAAGCTGTTGCCGTGGGACAGCTTCTGACTTCCCCAGGATCCCGGGTTCCCAAGCTCACAGCCCGATTCCTGTCTCCTGTCAGCCTCAGGGCGTGCCTGGGTCCCTGGGACCTGGCGTTGTGGTCGCCCAGCCATGGAGCGGTGCAGCCGCTGCCATCGCCTCCTCCTGCTCCTACCTCTGCTGATAGGGCTGAGCGCTGCCCCGGGCTGGGCAGGTAAGAGGAGTGCCATGCCTGGTAGTCAGAGTCAGCTGGAGCTCCAAGTATCCGGAGGAGGGGACCGCTGATGCCTGGGGCAGAAGCGTCTGAATTTAAGGAGGGGATTGGGGGCGTCCAGGGTTTAGGCTGGAGGGCGAGATGCCCGGGTTCCTTGGAGCCAGAATAGGAATCTCTTCCCTCTTCCAAGAGACTGCAGGAGGGCAGCTAAAGCCCACCGGATGAGGACCACCACAGAGAGCTCTGAGTAGGGCTGGATGCTTGTCTTGAGTCCTCAGGAAGACTCGAAGACCTTCAGGACTAGTCTGGTCCAAGCTTAGCTGATGTCTATCCAGGTGGTAAATACTAGGGTTGATGGGTGAGGGATGAAGGATGAATATCAGTGGGGCAGAGCAGAGCCTACTAAGTAAGGTGAGAAAGAAGGGATGCCTCAACTATCTGTCCACTGGACTCCCTGACACGGTCCCCTGCCCCCTCCCTATGCCCTCAATGCTGCCACGCGGCTGGCTCTAGGGAGCACTGGGGCTGACTGCCAACAGGACGGCTGCTGGACAGGCTAGGATCAGGTGTCTGAGGCTGGAGCCAACTCTTTGCATTCCTGCCCCGCCCCTCCCCCTCTAGCCAGTTGGACTCCCCTGGAAACCTGGTGTCCACAATCCCAGTCTCCTCCAACCCTCCCCCTCAGGACCCAGAAATCCTGGCTCCTAGGAAAATGGATTTGATGTCAGAGCAGGTCCCTGTGAACACTGGGTCCAGGGCAGGATGGAGCAAGTCCTTCACTCCTGCAAACACTGGGGCTTATTTGTATATAACTTGACATTCATTTATTCTTTGCTCTGAAGAGATAATGGTCAGAATGACAGCATAAAGGATTTAGATTAGATTACAGAAAGAACTTCCAAGCTCTGCAGAGGGAGATTCAGGGACAGGAAATTGATGTGTATGGTGTTTACAGAGTCTAGGAATAGTTTTTGGGAGAAAGGAACCCTCTGCATGGAGTTAGGGGGATTGCCAAGATGACTGTCTCTTATTTTGGCACTGAGTGGGTAGAGAAGGGACTCCAGGGAGTTGGGTTACTGTGGAAGTCCTGAGATTAGAGGACAGGACATCAATTGGTGGAGCGTGATAGGGTGCCAGTGGGGAGCTGTGGGGCAGATGAGGTCTGAGACAGTGGGGCAAGTATGTAGCAAGAAGGTGGGCTGGTTTGTGGGTAGTGATGCATAGGATCCAACTGTCCTCTCCTGGGCTTTGGTGGAGGGTGGGGGCCTCCGAGGTCTCATTGGCCTGGGGTCTCTGTGAGTCTCTGTGTCTCTGTCTCACTCACCTTCGTCTTTCAAAGCCGCCCTTGTGTGTTGGTGTTTGCAGAGCTGCCACACTCAGGGGCCAGACTCAGCGGGGGCGGGAGAAGGCCGCGGTTTCCAGGCTCCTGGACTCAAAGGGCCTTTTCTCTCCTGCCGGCCCCACCTCACCCACCCCACCCAGGTCTGCTCTCCTGACTGCTCTGGCCTCTGCCCTGCCCCACGCTTCTATGAACGTTTTGCTGGAACTCTTTGGGAGTTTTCCAATGTGGAGCTGATGGTGTGAGAAGTGTGTACACTGGGGTGCAAGCCAGGGAGACATGACCTTTGCCTTCTACCCAGATCTCAGCTTCCTGGGCCCAAACTCCCTGGAAAGCAAAGGTCATGTCTTGAATCTTTGGATCCCAGGTGGTGAGGGTGGCAGGGCAGGACTGAGATTCCAGGTGTGGAGAGCTTGCCTGGAGTTTTGGGGAATAACTCTGATGGGATCTACAGATGTGTGGCGTGGGGCCCTGGATCTGCTCCTGCTCTGCGTGGCAACTTCAGCCATCTCCCAAGCCCATCACAAGCCAAGCCACCCCTCTAGCCTGTCTCCTAAACCAGGGGGCAAAGGCTCCTGGGACAGCTCATTCTTATATCTCCTTCCTCAGCACAGGGAGAATAGTTCCACGCCCCAAACTCAGAATCAGTAGCAGTTTGAAGCCCCCTTCCATATGGCTGCCTCTCTGCTCTCTCTCTCTCTCTCTCTGGTGCCCCCCCCTGCCTCTCCTATGCCCAGGATGATCGATTGCCCAGATGTTGTTTGTGCTGGAGACAGGACAGGTGCCAGAAAGCCAGAGACTGAGAGATATGGAAAGGGAATGAGAGAGAGGGAGAAAGACAAGGAAAGAAAAGGATGGGCAGGATGTTAGGGGAATGAAGGAAGACAGAAAAGAGGAAGACAGAAAGGCCAGCAGGTGCAGAGACAAAGAGAGTAACAGAGAGAGAGAGAGAGAGAGAAAAGAAGAGAAGAGAAGAGAAGAGAGGAGAAGAAGAGAAGAGAGGAGAGGAGAGGACAGATAATAAGGGATATTAATACAGAGAGATTTATAGGTTGAAAGAATTAGGGAGAGTATAAGAGTGGGCATGGAGCTGAATTCCCATCCATACAAGCCACATGCAGGAGAATGTAAGGGAGAGAATGTAAGGGAGAGGTGACTTTACCTTCCAGGGAGCTTGAGTTCTAGGAAGCTAAGCTCCAGATCCTAATGTCCCCTATTTAGGTCCTCCTGAGGGCATGTTATAACCCCTGACCCCTATGGACTCTCCCAGGTGCACCCTCTGTGGATGTGTTACGGGCTCTGAGGTTCCCCTCCCTCCCTGATGGTGTCCGTAAGGCAAGAGGCATCTGTCCAGCAGATGTGGCCTACAGAGTGTCACGACCTGCCCAACTCAGTGCACCCACCCGCCAGCTGTTCCCAGGTATGAGTGACAGGTGGAAGAGGAAGAGCTGGGGGAGGTGATAGGTTGAGTTCTGGGATCAGACACCAGGAAGGAAGGGGTTATATATCTCTTTGCCTCTCACTCCATCTGTGTGTATCTCTTTTGGGGACCAGGAGGCTTTCCCAAAGATTTCTCTCTGCTGACTGTTGTCCGGACTCGCCCTGGTCTCCAGGCTCCCCTCCTGACTCTGTATAGTGCCCAGGGTGTCCAACAGCTGGGCTTGGAGCTTGGCCAACCTGTCCGCTTTCTGTATGAGGACCAGACTGGACGGCCTCAGCCCCCGGCCCAGCCGGTTTTCCGAGGCCTCAGCCTAGCAGATGGCAAGTAAGTCAGTTTGGCCCTCTGGGCTTCTTGATCTAAACTTTCAGGAGAAAGTGTCTCAGAGCCCCCATTCCCTAATCTGGGAAGCCACGTTGACCCTTTGCCCACACAATACCTACCCATGCCCAAACTTCAATCACTTCTAGGTCAGAGTTTGGGCTTTAGTGTCTATATCCTTGCTCTGTACATACTACTAGCCTGTAACTAGGGCAGGTTGCTTACCGTTTTTAAACCTCAGTTTCTGTGTCTATGAAACAGAGATAATAGGATTATGACAATCAAACGAGAAAGTGATTGTATGGTGCCTGTGCACTGTAAGCCCTCTATAAATGATATCTATTGTGATTACTGCTATTATTATTGGGTTCAACTCTTCTATCATTTGCTCCCCAATCCTGTTGACTTGCTACCCCCTTTCAGGAGTCAGTCACTTGAACCCTTCCCCCCATGACCAGGTGGCACCGTGTGGCTGTGGCTGTAAAGGGCCAATCTGTCACCCTCATTATTGA